TGACTGACTTGGTGAACTACCAGGTAGAATAGGTCATCTGGAGAAAAAAAATCTTAATAATAAACAGCATGTAATGTTCAAAAAGAAAAGTATGTAATTAATCATCAAGTAATTCGAGAAAAGAATTTACAAAAAGAGCTGATGAATACACATTTAACTTCTGTGCAGATTCTAATCTATACAAAGTAACTAGGAGTAATTTATCATTCAAAAAATATTACAGATTTTTGTCTTATTTTAGCCACTCTATTCATTCCAATCAAAAGGCTACAGACATTCCTAAAAGGACCTAGGACCAGAGTTAAGAATGTCGATACCATTTGACAGGGCACAAATGTTTCCAAACATACAGTTCATATTAACACTAGGAAGTGTGAAGGTAGAATATAAGGTAGAATTGCAGAATGTTTACACATTGATTCAAAGGTTTGTTTTTTAACAGAAACCACTCAAGACAACTCCATCAAATTTTGCTGAAAAACTGTTACCTAAACTGGTATTGGTCCATATTACTGCATTTAACTTTGGAGATACTTACACCATAAGGATAAATGCTCTAAAGAAATTCCTTTTGGCAGCTAGTAATCAAATCTAACCTTTCAGAAAATGCACGTCATGTATAAAAAGAAGGCTGTTTTATAAAAGCTTACAAAATCTTCAAAGAAACTGCCTGAATCACACTCCCATCATATTAGGTCACTTGTTCTCTCATAATAAAGTATGCCTTTTCTTTAAAATAGCACTTCCCAAAGTATGGTCCAAGCACCCCTGAGATATTTTCAAGGAATCTGGAGTCCTCCCTTTCCCAAAAACGAATGAACATATTAACAGATTTTCTTCATATATTTCAAATAAAACGACATACTACAAAACACTGAATGCAGAGCACGTAAGAGAATCCAGCCCTAAGTTAGAAATTGGAAATATGCAAAAAGGAAGACAATGACACTCTTCTTACTAGTTTGGAAGCTAACATTTATATAAATGTTGTATTAACAGATGAGATTATCATTAATAAATATTTTTAATGTTTATCATTTGACTTTCTTAGTATGCTAATGATATAAACCATATAAACAAAAGCTTTGGCATTTTCCATTTCTAAGAGTGTAAGGGGTCTTGAAACCAAAAGTTTGAGAATTGCTGCCTTAAAGCTTTTCACAGTTGCAATTTTACGTTCAGATTTTATAACTTGTCTTCTACCTGTAATCTCCACAAAATTGGAACTTTCCCATTTTGCTCATCATTGAATTCCAAATGCAGAAAATTGTGCTTGCAGAATAGGCACACAATATTTAGGAACTGAAAACTGCTGCCTATTCTCCCATAAATCAAAATGACTTGAAAAATATATTTTTCACCTTAAAACCCTGCAAACTTCATGTAACAAATTAACACTATTCCTGCTTCCAATTTTGCTACCCTGGTGATGATGGTGTTGATGATTTCCTATGTGAAATGCTTTTCCAGTATGAAATAAAAATGACTGCTACAGAAAGACTTTTAAGATAGTTTTACTATAAACGTCACGAGGTTTCTCAAAGTGTTGAATGTAAACGGAACATTTTTATAAAATAAGGTGCAGTAATATTTACCTTTTCAGTCTCCTTTTAAAGAATAAGTTCCTGAAAAAAAAATTACTTTGAGGACAAAATTATCTTAAAATAAGTATTTTTAAGACAGCTTGGGCTAACATATACATATATATATACACACATGGACATGCACACAATTATTACACAGAAAAAGTATTTTGGGGGTATTTGGAGTTATATTGGATTCATTGTCCTTTAGTGCTTAGGCTATTTCCCTCAATGACTCTGCTCTGCATCTATCTATAAGATGAAACTTGACAGGGTGAACTCAAGCTTTCAAAGGACTTCTAGCTACTGATCTAATATTTGTTTTCAACTCAACTACTTTCTTGTTCTACGTATTAACTACCATAATTCTTTGTGAAACAGAAATCAAAGAATTAGGGTGTTTGGCACCTTTTTAAAAGCAGTAACCAATTTTATTTGCAATTTGCTTTAAGAGACAGAAATAAACCTGATTATGTATACAGTTCTTTGTAGTCATTAGTAAGTTGTAGCCTGACCAGTGTTAGAGGAATCTGAGAAGATGAGCACAGTACAACTAGTATATCCAAATATTAAAATACTGATTTACTAAGATCTGGTTCACTATCAAGCTCTCATAATGCATTTCAGTGGTTCATAAACTTTAAAAACACAGCTACTATTAAAAACTTGGGAACAACAAAGTTACCTGTTAAGGGGTAGTTTTAACACACACGTTAACATGGAGGGGCTTCTCACTCCAATTTCTTCCCTACTGCTGGTGTTATTGTTCTTACATTTTTAACATGTATTTACTATAGCCTTAACTATTCTATAAAGATTTAAGATTAATTCACCCACAATAAGCTACAATTAGTGAGTCAAGGGCTGTGGAAAATGATGGCCCCCCAAAAGATGTCTACACCTCAATCCTTGGAATACCTGAAAATATATTAGGTTACATGATAATAGGGAATTAAGGTCACAGATGGAATATAAGTTGCTAATCAGCTGACTTTAAAATAGGAAGATTACCCTGGATTATCTGGTTGGGGTCAACAATGTAACCACAAGGGTCCTTTGTAGAAGAGGAAATCAGAAGGGAAGGTCAGAGATAGTAGAGAAAGACTGGGTCCCATATTGCTGTCTTTATATATGGAGAAAGGGATCATGAGCCAAGGAAATTGGGTGCCCTCTAGAAGATAGAAACCGAAGCCAAAATAAAAAAAGGGAATCTCCCCGAAAGCCTCCAGAAAATGAATGCATCTTGCTGACATCTTGATCTTACCCAGTGAGATCTGCATAGACTTCTGATCCACAGAACCGTAAGATCATAAATTTGTGTGGTTTTAAGCCACTACACTTGTAGTGATTCATCACAGCAGCATAAAAAAGAGGAACCAGAATTTAGGATTTGTTGATTAAATTTTCAAACCTGTACAATAACTTACAGGTTTTTGGTTATGTCTTCTGGCTCACGCTGAAGAGTTGGGTTGCTCAGTGAAGGGTTTCTGACAGTTCGGTGGAATGCAAAGCAAGAGGGCTATGAAAGGTATATATGATCCAGGCTTTTGCTCTTTTTCCTCATTCTCAATTCTCAGAGCACATTGCTAAGCACATGGACTGTAGAGAAAAAAGGACAACTGAGCTAGATCCCTGCTCTGACAACAGCAGGATAACTGGCCAAGTTTCCAACTTCTCTAAGTTCCAGATTCCTCCGCTCTAAGCCTTCACCTTTGAGTTGACGCAATGTTTACACTAAGTGCTCAAAACCAGGGTGCCTTACAGAGGGCTCATGAGGCTTTCTGATTGCCACAAGATCACCTGGGTGAACTTTACAGGTACTGAGATGCCCTGGTACTTTTATCTAATTAGAGGTATGCATTTCACTGTCTTAAGTGACTCTTAAGTTTTTTTAAGTGTATAATTTTTTTAAGGAGCAGGTTTTCTTTGAAACAGGAGAAACTAAAGATGAAATTCATGTAATTCACTAGTTGGTATAAGGCTAGTTGTACCTGGGGACTCGAGAATGGCTTTGGATCTACTACCCGTTGACTCTGCTTATTTTCTTTTTCCTCCAAAAGGAAAACCCTCAAATAGTGAATATGAACCATACTTTCCCTACTCTCCACAAAAATGTTTCAGTCGATCCAGCAGTTACAAGATCTGCCTCTAACCCCAAGAGATGCTCATCCCTAACAGGAGGCTATATGGCCTTGCTATTTTAAAAACATGTATCAGAATGCAATCAGATCTGATTAAAGAATTTTAGATATGTAGAAGAAACTATTAGCTAAGAGGTGATCAAAAACTGACCCTAAAAGCTTGTTTTCCATTCATTAACCACTTATTTTTACCTTTCATCTTGCAAAAGAAATCTGGAGTTCTGATAATCCCCTCAACCAGTAAAAGGTAGATGTTCTGATAACATATACATTTGAAATTGAAAACTAAATGTTGTTTTTTAATGTGTAAAAACCCCTGACAGCAATTTCTTTGTACAGGTGCAAATTATAGACTTAGATTTGTTTGTTTGGGAATTTTGTTTTCTAACAAGTTAATTTCCAAAAGAAAAGTGCCAAAGTTAAACGGGCTTTATTTAAACCACAAGTCCTCTGTTTTAGAAACTTTATGACGACCAAATTTCAGAGGATAAGTAGGGAAAAAAGTACTGCAAGTCATTGCAAATTAGATAGAATGTTTGGTTCCGAATTTTCTCCTCTTCTCTCCAGCAAAAATAACAAGGATAATCTGTTTCAAAACCAATTTAACTCTAATCTTTTAAGTTCTTTAGGAAAACAATCATCTGATTTTGTGGAATTATTTATATTTTCTTCATCTAATACAGGTAAGTAAATATACTGAGTTCTCTTTGTTTTTGGGAGTTTTTTTTTTTTTTTTTTGTCAGCATCATTTGATAGCTCTTGCTTTAAATTACAGCCATCAAAACCATGTGTTTTAGGGTTTAAATAAATTTAGATTTGAATTAATAGTTTTCATATGTTTTTTTTTTTTTTTTTTTTTCAAGTAAAACTAGTATACGAAACTGTACAGTTACTTTACAAATTAGGCTAAATCACATTTTATAAAAAGATTCAAAACATATTTCTCAAGTTCTGTGGTCTTTAATTTTAATGATGAGTGAGTCAGAGTACCAAACTCTGATGGTGTAAAAGTTTTCAGAAACTTACCTAAAAGGGGGTTATAGCTGCACAGTGTTTCACAAGTAGTTCTAAATTCTAGCCTCTTTAGAACTACACAATTCATCTCAGCCTATAATTTAAGATTTTAAAAAATTGTTTTTCCCCTCATCTAATGCCTGACATAGATAGCTATGTCTATATGTTCTTGGCTGAGTAATGAAAAATCAATGGTTGAAGGTAATTAAAGCTTTAAAGAAGAAATTCTTTTACTACTGAATTTCAAGTCACACACACAGAATAGGTGAGAAATTCTTTTATCATATTTAGAATCAAAATATCCCTTAAAATATTTACATTTTACAGTAAAAAGGATAGCAAAACACAAGATCATGTACAAGCTTAAGTATTCAAGTTTCTGAAGAGCCAAAAATGAAAATGAAAACAATGACCTACCACAAAGCTGTAGTACATGGTAATAAATGACTTCAATGAGTGCAGATTAAAGCAATAAATGTACCCCTTGGGCTTCTGATTCTTGGTCAAAAACTGCTCAACTAAATGATTAGCATAATCTGATTATGAAGTTGTTTGGATTTTTGTTGCTCCTCTACAGTTTCTTTAAAAACAGTGCAATTTAAAACAAACTTACAGAGCCACACATTACTCCCAAATTAGTCATTATATAAAGGACATTCACTAGAGCCAGTAAATATATTCCATAGTTAACCATATTTACCAATTAAGGAATAAAACTAAAATTTCTAAGCCTTTATTGCATATTAATAAAACAAATCTTTGAATATACAGCAATGTAAAATTTTTAAAAATATTAAATTCCTATAACTAGGGACAGTTGGTATGAAGAAGGGATGATGAGCACTGGTACAGGACACTCTGCACCAACACACAGAATTTACTGTTCTGCAAATGACTGATAGTAAAAATTTTAAAGATGGCACAATCCTAGCAGGCAATCTTTCTTTTGTTTACAAGATACAACATTTAACAGTTATTTAAATGTAATCCTGAAGCAGCCTGCAAATTTTACCTTTTGCTTTTAGTTCTGTCAGTGTGGTCCCTATCTTTGTGGTACCTATCTCTGTCCTTTTCTCCTTCTCTATGTTTACTTTTTTCTCGTTCTTTGTCCTTCTCATAGTCTTCACTTTTAGGTTTATCTGGCTTCTTGTCTACACTCCTACTATCTCTGCTTGCTTTTCCATCTGTTCCTCGATCACCATGTGATAACCGTGCCCTCTCTTTATCTTTATGCCCTTCCTCCCTGCTTTTTCTGTCTCTGTCCTTGTCTTGGCTTCTGTCTCTGCGTCTATGCCTTTCAGATTCTTGCTCCCATTCCTTTTCATGTCGCTCTCTTTTCAAGTGGTGTGAATCACTATAAAATCTCTGGCGGTCCCCTTTACCCCTATTAAATGGCCTATCCAGTTGCTGTTGGTCTTGCCTACCCCAAGGGTCACTATGGCGCCTTTCTGGTCTCCGAACGTCTTTAACCTGGTAAAAATTCTGTGGGCCTATATACCTTGATGCTTGTGAGAGAGGACCCATCATACGCTGTGGCTGACCTGGGAGATGAACAACAGGTGGCCAGGGAACCATGGGATTTTGAGCAAAGCCAAAGCCTGGAGGGGGAAGTAATGGAGGTGGCAAATGTGGTGGAAATCCAAACATGCTTTGTGGGGGAAAATTAGGAGGCCCTGGAAATGGAAATCCAGGTGGGCTAGACTTCAGATGCTGAAGGCTGGGCTGCTGTGGCCTCATGGGTGAAAAGTTTGTACTTGTTCTGGGGCTGGTGCTTCTGGAAGTAAAGGTGATGCTTTTAGAAGGAAATTCTGATGGACATGTGTTTCCAACTTCAAAATGAGATGTCGCTACTGCTGATCCTCTTCGAAATGGGTGCACAGTTTCAATATTTTGCATTAAAATATCTTCCTGTAAGGGTTTTGCTTGTTCTGCCTGAGAAGTCTGTATGTTTTCTACTGATGGCGAGTTTTGTGCAACTTTTAAATTGTCACTCTGCTGAACACATGAGTTTTTCTCTATAGAACACAACTTTTCCTCTACATTCATTTGTTCTGTTAAGTGCTCCTTGTTGTGTGACAGACCAGGAAGGATATGTTTTTCTCCATTCCTGCAACTATCTCCATCTTTGCTTTCTGAAGTAGTTACAGGCTGACTTCGTCCTGCTGCTTGCCTAGGATCCCTTTTCAGATTGATAAACTGTGGAGACCTTGTATTAGCAACAGGGTTTTCACTACAGCTCACATTACCATCTATGTTTCCTTTTCCTACATTAGATCTGCATGGAGAACTATTTGAAGTCTGGTTATCTTGCAAATTATTCTCTTGATCTTCCTGAAGCTGTCTTTTTAATGTTTTCTCTTTACTCTCCACAGTTTCCTCTTGTTTTGACTGAATCGATAAATTTGTTAAAAATGCTTCTGTAGAAACATCTGGTGGTTTACCTCTGAGACTAAGACTCGTCAAAGGCCCTGCAGAAATGGAAGAGGATCCTACTATTGATGTTTCTTCTCCTATTACTGCTGACTTATCTGTGGATTCTGAAAGATTATCTACTTTAACTTTTATCTCCTTGTTTTCACTATCAGTGACTTCCACATTATCTATTTTTTCTGTTTTTGAGTTGGTCTGCTCATTTAAAAATGGAATTTCTTTAAGAGTGTTTTGTTCCATCACTGACTGAGCCTGGTCATATACTTGACCAGCGGTGCCCAAAAGGCTTTGAAGTATATCATCCACAGGAAGAGGTTTATTTGCTAATTCCAGAGTAGTAGGTTGATTTTCCCAGCCAATCAATACGCCAGGAAGAAATCTTAAAGGTTTTGGTGGCTCATGTTTGGTGACTTCCATTAAAGGTTCAACTGCTGCTGGAAGGTCTTCCTGAAGATTCTGCTGAGGTTTATTTCTCTGCTTGTGTAATACAGTTGTAAAGGAATTAAAAAAGTCATTTTCTTCCTCTGGTGCTTCTTCTGTAGAAACTTCTATTTTACTTTTTTTATCAGGTGGCAATGCTATTGGTGCACTTTCAGGAGTCTCAGCTATATGACTCGTACTAGCAGAGGCACTGTGCTGCCTCTTCAGTTTCTGACGAATAATTAAGCCCAACAATAGATTAGGTCTATGCAGTTCAAGCCCTGTATAAAACCAAAAACATTAATTCATTATTTTCGATCATTACAAAAAAGGGTAAAATTCTGCCTCTAACTTATTACAGGATATTAAATGATGCCTGGCCCTGTAAAGCCATCTCTAGACGGCTGGATCCTGAGAAAGAAGGCAGAATCAGTCTTTTCACTCTGGTCCCACCTCCCATGTTATTTCATTCTTATCCTATTATTAAAACGTATACCTACCAGGTCCATCAAAAGGCACAAGAGGGTGTGGAATTTTATCTGTGGCACCCAAAGGAATAAGGTACATATCTTTAACCTGCTTCATGTTGTTAGCAGCTACTCCATAGCGCTTTCTGCTACTGAAGTATGCAAAGAGCAAAGTATAAGAAATTTGATCTTCTTCAGTTACTGGTGTGAAGCGAACCACACAAATTTCCTGTTCAAGAAAAGAACAAATGATTGTTTAAGATAATAAGCTAAAGAGTATCTTGGTTTTAAAACTATTTCTCAATTAGTAATAATCTACTGAACTTTATAATGATAGTACCAAATAACATGGTTTACCAACTTAAATACAGAAGAGAATATTAAAAGGAAGTAACTCTTAAGAAAAGATCTTTACTGATCCACTGATGGATTTGTTTTATCTGATGGCTTACACTTCTTAGGGAAACGTAAAGAAATGGAGTCCCAAGGTGATTAACGACTTTTATGAAGGTGACAGATACAACTGTGTCAGTGGCAGAGATGATACTGAAACCCAAGTCTTCTAATATCTATACTATATCGTGATTTCCAATGCTGTAACCTCCACAAAGGGCTGCCTATGTTCTTGACCCACTGGGAACTCAAAGTACCCAATACTTCCACCCTACTATACATTTATATACACAACAGAGAAATCTACTAATAATCCAGTTACTAGGCACTGAATTTAGAAATAAAAAGGGCTGGATGAAGAGACCGTAAACACATATTGACCATAAATTTTGTAAAGTAATTTGGCTTACTCAGGAATTTTCTTGCTTGCCTCTAGGTTCCCGGCTTTGTTTCAGATAGAAAAGACAGTCCTAATTTGTTACTAATTTGGTAGTGTTCAAAAACAATGTTTTTTTCATGATGGTATATGGACGAAATGGGAGAGCCAGATTTGCTGCAAAGCCTAAAACTGATGCAAGCTCCTAAGGAAAACGTGAATGAGCTGAAATATGACTCTATCTCTTATAAAATGTGTGTCATCTAAACTGCCCTCTTTTAGAGTAAAAATCACCATATGTATGTTAGTAACAACTATTACAGCGTGTTTAAATCTGTTAAATTGGAATATACTATAAAGTGTTGGGCAGTAATATATGTGTGGATTCAAGACTGATTCTCAAAATGCCCAAGAGTAATACTTCTCATTTTTATTAGTGCTTTAATTTGTATTTTAACACTACATCGATTTAAATTCTAAAATCTATATTGGAACAAAACATTCTTTTCAGCTTAAGATTATCCATTTTGGTTCATTCCAAAGGAAAACTAGAGACTTCTAGAAAAAGAGGCAAAAAAGTAACATTTATTTATTCAAGATTTATTTATTGAATGACTGTAATATACTAGGTACTATCATATCCCCTGGAGGGAAAAACAATTTCTTGTAATGATTAAATTTTCCTCTGTAGTAATAATATTCTATAAGTTAAAAAAAAAAAAAAAAAAAAAAAGAAAAGAAAAGAAAATGTAGAGAGAAAAAGGAAAAGGAGAAATATTATTGTGATAGAGCCATTTCACAGTATCTTTTCTCCTTTCCTCCTATTACTAATGAGAAGCCCTTAACTTTTAGCTGGGTACATGGCCATCCAATAAAAATTACATTTCCCAGCCTCCCTAGCACCTATGTATGGCTATGTGACTAGGTTCTTTCCAATGGAAGTTGATGACTGCAATTTGCCTTTGAAACAACTAGACAGGTATTCCTCATTTATTCCTATTTGGTATGTTTGACTGCTGAGGACAACACTCCAATCAACTTCTATATTCTTTGAGTCACTATATTTTAGATTCTTTCTTTTACAATAGCTTAGCTGTGCCCTCACTCAAACACATGTCTATAATAGAAGACAAAATTCCAGGGTGAATTTCAATATTTACTCTAAAACATTTCTTCTAAAACATTAACAGAAGCCACAAAGAGAGCATCCCAGAAGACGAGAGGAAAAAAAAAATGCTGTACTGTTTATAGCCTCAGCAAATGGCTTTTGTTCAGTTTTGTGAGGTGTGTTATGTAGACTTAAAATGTGTATTGCCTCCTTTCCCCAGGAGACCTTGCACCCTTGCAAAATAATTCTGAACTGTTTACTTTCTAAACATTTTCCCATGCTGGTATAGTGAAAAAAGTTTTCCTCACCTTGGTTCCTGATGCTTTTATTTTTTCCACATAATCCCAAACTGTCTGAGGTGATATCCTGCCACCTACTTGAATACTATCTGGTAGGTCCTGTGGTTTTAAAAAAAAAAAAAAAAAATCAATATATATAGATTATTTTTATTATGACATTAGTAATTCATACAAATTTGGTTCTAAGACTAATCTGAAACAGTAATAAGAACAAGTAAATAAAAAGATTATGAAAAATGTTATCAGAAAACAAGATAATACAGAGAGAGCAATTAGGCTTTACTTAAAATGCCAACTAAGAATGACTGATGTCTAAAATACAGCTACTAAGAAAGAGTCTTAGTTCATGCCCAATCTCACTATGAAAGATGGAAAAGGGAAGCAATGGCAAGCATACCACATTAACAATTCAGAAAGAACACAACACATTTCAGAATATTAGCAGAGATTGTAACCTCCCCTTTTGGTAGTAGTAGGCAGGAAAATTCCTTAATAATTAACAGTGGAACTTCAAAGGTTACCAAATCTAATTACAGAGTGTATTTTTGCACAAAGGAGAATAATATTGTAATAATTCAAGGTTTTTTTTTTAAAGGCATAATCCTTCTGAAAACAGATGATTACACATAAAAGCAATTAAGAATATTTAACTTTATTCAGTACATTCCTATTTTTTCCATGAAGACTGAGGAAAATCATAAAAACATAATTGATATTAAATTCAATTTAGTTTATTTAAATTATTAACTACTTTAAAATATTTGATTTGGGAGTTTAGTCTCAAACTAAAAACAGGTACAAAATGGAAGTGAAAAATCTGGACAGCAATCACATAAAAACTGTGTCTCGGAGAGGAAAATAATAATTTTGTTTAAAATCAAAAGGGTTTTGTAGTTAAGGGCTTACCTCTCCATTTAAAGAATTACCTTCACCATGGACTGACCAAACAATAAATCTCTAAACAGATTTGTTCAAGAAGAACATCATGGGTCTAATTCATTTTTCTCTTATGAAGCCCACATTTTTTAAATATTTATCAAGCAAACTGTATATAAAATTGATTAGTCTGTTTATTAATCAAAAACACACTGCTAGACTGGGCACAGTGGCTCACATCTGTAATCCCAGTACTCTGGGAGGCAGAGGCGGGCAGATCACTTGAGGTCAGGAGTTTGGGACCAGCCTGGCCAACATGGTGAAGCCACGTTTCTACTAATAATACAAAAATTAGCCAGGTGTGGTAGCACATGTCTGTTAATCCTAGTTACATGGGAGGCTGAGACAGGAGAATGGCTTGAACCCGGGAGGCAGAGGTTGCAGTAAGCCGAGATCACATCACTGCACTCCAGCCAGGGCGACAGGGCAAGACTCTGTCTCCAAAAAAAAAAAACACCCCACAACTGCTAACCAAATAAACTGATATAAACATTACATAAACAATATTATACTGAATTAAACTAATCGCAGCCTAATCCAAAGAAAAGTAAAATTTATGTTAGCCTTTAAAAAAAAAAAAAAAAAAAAAACCAGGCAAATGATTTAGGCTTTTCCAAATACTAAAAGGAACTTTTTACAATCTTTTAATTCTTTAAAATCAGCGATGGAGAATAAATGAAAAAGGTAAGATAAGAGCAAGATAGCAAAATATGATCTCAATATAAATACAGTATATATGTACTGACTTATTTTCCTTCTATACACATACAAAAATACATTTCCTTTAAAATAGTTCAAAAATGTCATTGTCACATTTATCACAATATTATAATGTTACTGCTGCTTATTTTCCATAAATACCACATAATTTCTTCCTATTTCCCTCAGGTGTAAAACCAACCAAGGGTGTCACTTGCAGCAACTATAGTCACTAGTTTCACTGGTTTTCAAATAGCTGTAAAGCTTCAACTCCTGGTCTACATAAACCACATCCACAGAAATAGGCAGTAAGAACAGTAGTCATGAAGATGGGGAAACACAAGCAGTGGGGAAATTAGGAGACTTGTTCAACAAAAAAATCTCAATGGGTTAACGTTAAAGGCCAAAAATATGTAAATCTTTTATTTAAGTGTGTGTTCAAAGAAAAACTTGGATATCCATGTAGACTCTCATTGATTTTTAATTATCTGACACAGTGAGGCAGTACATCTTGGGAAAAGTACAGGACATGGGAGTTTAAAACTTTCAGAGTATAGTTTATTTCACAATTCTAAAGATCCATTTGTTAATTCATAATTATATTACTTGAACTGTTTAAGAATCATTGTTAATAAATATTTTTATTACTAACTCTGTCTTATTTCCCTGTCAATTACTTTCAGAAACACACATATCAATTCATGCACAGAAGAGCAGAAAAGTTCACAGTACCTCTGTCAGGTATTCAGGGGAGCCAGATACTGGATAGGCTTTGGTAACAAATTTTGCCACAGAAGGCATGTTGATAAAACCTTTCCAGATGAAGTTCAATCGAGCCAGAAAGGTAGACTCAACCTCAACAGTTCCAGGCATCTCTGGACTAGAAAATGACATTAAAAAGCCTAAAGACAAGCTGATGAATAAATCAATGTTCTATTTAGTCATCAGTTACTCGTATTTTAGCATGTGAAGAAGGCCAAAATATGAGGCTACTGACAAAGAGTTTACACTTTTATTTTATAAAATTACATTCATATTTACATAGTTATGATTTACAAAATCTTCCCTTTTGGCTGGCTTAGGAGAACTAAGATCGAGAAAAGTGCAAGCATTTCTTCTTTAATAATCTATCCCTGACTTTTGGGACCAGCACAATTAAAGAGAATTTAAAGCTGTTTCCCCACACACTCAAATCTCTCACTCAAACCACTCAAAATAAATTTACTTTCAAAGTCTTGTTTTACCTCAAAGTACAGGAAAGTACAGTTACTTTCTCAAATGAAAGTTCCCAAAATGTCACTTTTCTGTTTTCGAAGACTTGCAAGTACAATCTGGCAAAGATCTATGATGAGTATTACAGAATTTACAACAGAGAAAATTACCGTGGAGCAGGAGAGAATGTTGACTTTGGAGACTCTTGTTTCTCCTCCTCAAAGAATTCGGAAGCCAAAATATTTGAGGTTGAAGACAACGCATCTGCTATACTTTCTGCTTCATTGTCTGAATGTTTACGAGTTACTCCTACAACAACTTTTACTTTTTTTGGAGAAAGATCATCTACAGGTGGTGCCATTCGACCTAAGCCCAGAATACACCAAAAAACCACAATTGTTATTAACCATAACTTTTATAACTTGACCCATTTTCACTTTCTAAAGTTATTCAGGTTCTATGATTCGATTGTTGAGTAACCATACCTTTCCTGGGGTTATATCTAATTGTCATCATTTAGTTATGTTACAACCACATTTAAGAATCAGCAGAAAGTTCACCAGTGTTCTCCCCATTCCAGTCCTCTTCTATATACAGGGACCTAAGCTTATCTGAAATGCAATTCAAAGCAAATCGTGCATGGTTCTACCTATAATAAAGTTAATTTCCCCTTAAAATCACTTTATAATTATTTCCTACATGTAAAACATACAATGAGTAAATATGGACAAGATTAGCAGTCCCCAACCTTTTTATCACCAGGAACCAGTTTTATGGAAGACAATTTTCCCATGGACAGCGGGATGGAGGGAGAGAGATGGTTTCAGGATGAAACCGTCACACCTCAGATCATCAAGCATTCATAGTTAGATTCTCATAAGGAGCACCCAACCTAGATCCTTCACATGTGCCGTTCACAATAGGGTTTGTACCCCTATGAGAACCTAATGCCACTGTTGATCTGACAGGAGGCGGAGCTCAGGCAGTAATGCTCACTGGCCCACCGCTCACCTCCTGCTGTGAGGCCCAGTTCCTAACAAGCCATGGACCGTACAGGTTTGTGGCCTGGCAGTTGAGGACCCCTAGAGTAGACAGTGTAATTCCTCTCTTAGTGATGTGAAAAATTAGAAGAAGAGAATGTTAAAAAACTCAGACAAGCTAAAATGAAAATATGATTACTAGAACCTAAAACAGGTTTCTTAATTCTTGATAATTTTTTTTTAACTAAACCACACCAAATTCTAATAGTCTCGAGATGTAACATGAAGAACTAAGACAAACCTGTATATGTGTATCCAGGTTTGGATTATACAGCAACAGCTCATGACTCTACATGCCTGAAGAGACACCTCACCAGAGAAGCTATACAGGTGGCATATAAGCATGAAAAGATGCTACATCAGGAAAATGCAAAGTAAAACAACAGAGAGATACCACTATACACCTATTAGAATGGCCAAAATCTAGAATACTGAAAACACCAAATGCTAGCAAGGATGTAGAGCAACAGGAACTCTCATTCATTGCTAGCAGGCGAACTCTCATTCATTGCTGGCAGGAAGGCAAAATGGCACAGCCTCTGTGAAAAATAGTTTGGAGGTTTCTTAAAAGATAAACATACTCTTACCATACGATCCAGCAACTGTGCTCCATGGTATTTACCCAAAGGAGTTGAAAACACATCCACACAAAAAGCTGCATACAGATGTTTATACTAGTTTCATTCGTAATTGCCAAAACTTGTAATAAAACAAGATCTCCTACATTGAGTAAATGGATAAACTATAAAAACTATATATCCAGACAATGGAATATTATTCAATGCTACAAAGAAATGAGCTATCCACCCATGAAAAGACATAGGAGAAACTTAAATGCATATTACTAAGTGAAAGTAGCCAATCTGAAAATGTTACATACTAGATGATTTCAATTATACAATATTCTGAAAACTACAGACAGTGAAAAGATCAGTGGTTTCCAGGGGTAGGTGGGGGTGTTGGGGGAAGGGATGAATAGACAGACAAAAGAGGATTTTTAGGGCAGTGAAAATACTCTGTATAATATTATAATGCTAGATTCATGTCTTTACACATTTGTCCATACCCACAGAATGTACAACTCTAAAGAGTGAACGCCAATGTAAACTATGGATTTGGGGTCACTATTTTTCACTGTAGGTTCGTCAGCTGTAGTAACTGTACCACTCTGGTGTGGGATGTTGGTAACAGCGGAGACTATGCACGTAGGGAGGAAGCAGGTATATGGGAAATCTCTGTAACTTCCTCTCAATTTTGCTATGAACCTAAAACTGCTCTTAAAAATAAAAAGCTTTTTTACAAAAAAGTAATTTGTATCCGATTTGTCTTATGTTATATATAATAATAAAATATAAATGCTATTTTACTCCTTTACTTTAGTAAATGACAGTATCATCACAACTGCCCACAATTTTTGATGTTCATTCTAATGGTTAAATTCTTGTCATCTGACTCCGGCAAGAAGAGTTTTTAGGTTCAAATCATGTATGGTATAATTAGGTCTAGATAGTAGACTACACTACAGTATCAAACTATACCTAACCCAGAAAACTAGTCACACGAAAGCTTAACTGTGAGTGAGTGCCTCACCACCAATACTGAGAAAACAAAACCTACTTAAATTACATATACTAGTATACAAATATCCTTCTTTCATAATGAATGCAAAATTTTAGGAAGAAAAAACTTCCAATTACCTATGCAAATTTTGCAATTGAGATCAAAAAGATGTTGTCTGTGTTGACTAGTAGTATCTTTAGACATAGAGTCAACCTCCTCTTTTTGTTTTTCAGATCCTTCTGGCTTCTCCAGTGACTTACTGGCAGCTGGTTCCTAACGTAAGTGAAAGTAAAAATTAGTTTTAGCTGATAAAATTTGGCCTCAATTATCAAAATCAATCTATATTTTCCATTTATATTTTTCCAAAATGAAATTGTTCCATATAGGTTTTTTTTTTTTTTTTTACTATTTCTTAAGAAAATGAATGCTAACTTTTAACTGTAACTTAAAAGAGCAAAAATTTAAACATTCCCCATTCTTCAAGGCTTTTAATAAGACATCAAATTATTTCTTCACTGATTTTTGAAAATAAGAAAAGCTATGCCACCTATCAAATGACAGTCTGCCTAAGAAGCACTTACAGATTTCTAAAGCCTACTAAAAAACTTCACTAAGTCAGGCCAGGCACAGTGGCTAATACCTGTGATCCCCGCATTTCGGGAGGCCGAGGTGGGCAGATCACTTGAGGTCAGGAGTTTGAGACCAGCCTGGCCAACATGGTGAAACTCTATCTCTATTAAAAATACAAAAATTAGCTGGGTGTGTTGGCACATGCCTGTAATCCCAAGTACTTGGGAGGCTGAGGTGGCAGCATCGCTTGAACCTGGGAGGTGGAGGTTGCAGTGAGCCGAGACTGCTCCACTGCACTCAAGCCTGGGCAACAAAGCAAGACTCCATCCCACCAAAAAAATAAAAAGAAATTCACTAAGTCAGAGCACTCCAGGAATCTACATTGTAATAACTATTTAACAGGTACCTATAACACAATTTGCACACTAAGAGAAACATTACTCAACACTCAAAAAACCACTAAACCAATAAAATAGGCCACTTTGAAATGGATGCATATTTTAAAATTCTTTTCTCTACTTTAAAAACATTAGACAAACTTTTTCTGAATCTTCATGTTTTGAGCTATAAAACATGGTATATCTATCCTTACCTGAATCTCCATGGCTGCTTCCTGTTCTTTCATTGGGGCATCACTCTCAATTTCTATTTCACCTTTATGAGTTATTTTGGTGATTGGCCGTCGTTCCACTTCTCTCTGCTCTTTCTCAATCATTTCTATGGTCTAACAGAAAATACTTCTTAAAAAATATTAAACTTAAAATATGTATTTCCAAATGTACACCTTAAATAATAAGAGCTTACCTAAAAATAAACGCATCATCACAGATGACTTTTAATCTTAAGGTAATGTCTCATATAACAAACATATTCTGAGTACTGTTATACGCCAGAGACAGTTTTAAGCACTGGGGTTATAAGAATTAGACCCCATACCTCAACCATGAGAAGTTGACATGTACATTTATATCAGGAGGCAAATGAGGTCCAAAGTAATTTGCAAAGTGGTGAAACATAGTATTTATATTTGAAATCTGATTGCTGATTTAGTACTTTTTAGCAGCTGCCACAGGGAAATAGGAACTATCTCGCTCTTAAATTCCTAATTCAATGTTCTAACATCCCCCACAACAGCAGTTTAATCCAACGACTGATCTGGTAGTTCTTTATTAGTTAACTCCTAACTAAACCTGCTTAGTGACCTTGAAAATTCAGTTGAACAAGCTTAGCAACAAAACATCAAAATGAAGCAAGTATAACGAGAAGTAGTAAAAAGGTAGCCAAGAATAGAACAGGTTAAGGAGGGCATAGATGGGACTCTCTTTGTTAAGTACAAATTATCCTTTAAAGAAAAATCAGGTACATGGCCTTAAGAAAGAACAAGCTGCCATTTTCTGATGCAGATGATACTCGCAGCCAGTTTCAAAGCAGAAGAGTGGCATGTGCATATTTGGGATATGGAGGTAAAGAAGAGGAGGTGGTATTATTTTCAAAATATAAGAGGAGGAGAAATTACATATCGTGAAGGTAAAGGAATATATGAAGAAGTATGATATGTCAAATCAAGGCCTCTAGATGAGCTTCAAACTAGATCTGGCATAGGTCTATATGGAGGTTTAGTGCCTCAGATGTAACTAAATATTATGAACAAAAGAATCAGGTAAATCATGTGGAGTTAATATGAACTATAACCAGTATTTTCTAGAATAAGGGGCTAACATTCTGATGCCATTGTAATACAAAAATTGGATAACATGGCTATCTCACTGTCACAATAGCTCTAAGTAACATACTCAATTTTTAAAGGTACTCTAAGTACCTTTAAGTTCACAATCTCCAAACAAAAACTCTTGCTATCTGTGAGTTTCAAATTTTTAAATTTGAACATGAAATATGGTGCACACACACTGTATTACATAACATTCCAGTTAGGTCTGAGACAGCACCATATAATATACAATATTTCTGTGAATATGAACATTCATACATGACAATTCAGGTTAAGCTTTATCAATAAATTAGTTATGCGAAAATAACTATTTTTCAGAGCTTCTGGCATTTGAAACTTTGGATAAGAGATAAACCTGTACACATTTTTATTCTGACTTAATTCATCTGGCTCTACAAATTACCAATATTCATAATACCTTTAAACTGTGCTGCTGAAAAATACAGATGTAATTATGAAAAGTGTTAATTCTTTTCCCATCCTTCTCATTTACAAACTATAATAAAACACAAGGTAATTCTGTAACCTAGTAACTGGAGAAAATGAGGAAAAAAACTGACAAGATCAGGGAAACCAACAGAATTTAAGAACTAGAGGAATGGAGAACACGTAACTAAAAGAAGCATGTAGGCCGGGCACGGTAGCTCATGCCTGTAATCCCAGCACTTTGGGAGGCCAAGGTCAGCGGATCACGAGGTCAGGAGATCGAGACCATCCTAGCCAACATGGTGAAACTCCATCTCGACTAAAAATACAAAAATTATCCAGGCGTGGTGGCGGGTGCCTGTAATCCCAGCTACTCGGGAGGTTGAGGCAGGAGAATCATTTGAACCCAGGAAGTGGAGGTTGCAGTGTGCTGAGATCGCACCACTGCACTCCAACCTGGCGATAGAGCTAGACTCCATTTACAAAAAAAAAAAAAAAGCAGCAGCATGTAACAGAAAGTCTGTGTTATTGTGCAGTCTGTGAATTTAACTCTGTATAATTTTTACCCAATGGCTGAAAAAAAATAATTTTGATAGTCAAATGCATATTTATAGATAATCTTACATGTCTGTTTTCTCTTCGTCTCCAAGCAGCTAACTCTTTAGAAGCTAGTTCTTCTGGACTCATTCTGATAAGATGATCAGGAGTTACTTCTCCTTTCAGTACTTTTTTAAATAATATCTGGAAGGATTTTAAAACAGGAATAGAAGGGGAGACAAACATTTAAAAGAGTGGTTACTATTTTAAAGTAAAAGAGTGGTTACTATACAGAAACTTGTAATAAAGATACAATTTTTGAAGACTGATCTACAAATTTTTAATTATTTATATATTACCTACTACACAGAGATTAAATGACAGCTTTGTGTTCTAGGAATTTATCTAAGGCAGCAAAACAAACATTTCATGTAAAAATCAATACATATGGAGAAGCATGTACAGTAAAACCATTACAATACCTACCCAAAAGTTGTATTAAGTCCACCCAGGGACACAATCTAACCATAACAATAAGCAATCTATAGTATAGGAAGGTACTGCATCTAACAGCTTTACTCAATGTAATGGTCTTCATAGTTTTAAGATTTTACATATTTAAATCCTGACAAGCTTGGAGGAAACTGCAGAGCAAAGAACCACCTGCAAGAAAGAAACCTGAAAGAAACCTGAGGGAGGCCAGGTGCCGTGGCTCACGCCTGTAATCCCAGCACATTGGGAGGGCAGGTCAGGCAGATCACAAGGTCAGAAGTTTGGGACTGGCCTGGCCAAAATGGTGAAACCCCATCTCTACTAAAAATACAAAAATTAGCTGGGCGTGGTGGCGCGTGCCTGTAATCCCAGCTACTTGGGAGGCTGAGGCAGGACAATCATTTGAACCCGGGAGAGGAGGCTGCAGTGAGCTGAGATGGCGCCATTGTATTCCAGCCTGGGCGACAGGGCAAGACTCTGTCTCCAAAAAAAAGAGAAAAACACCTGAGGGAAATAAATCTTTATTTAATTGCTGAAGTTAAGCTTCCAGATTATGTAATTCCAGAAGCATCTCATCCAGGACCATGATGGCAGAATATACAATGTATATTTTTAAGCCTCTGTTAGTATACTTCAAGAAAATATCTCAAATCACATACTGTAGCAAACATCCTTAAACAAATTTGTATCAGTTGTGTGAAAACCTTTCATGCAAAAAGGTTGCATCTAATTACATTCTGTTACCTAGAGTCATCTATAGTAAAAAACTGCTGGTGGACCTAAGTAAATGTCAGACACAAGAGATCAGTCATGTTCCGAACTTCTAAAATGTTCACTGGCGTGACTTTTGCTTATTGTACTTATCAGAGACCGACTTTTGGTGTTGAGACCTAACACTAACATACATGCACACACATGCACAGCCTTCAGATTTCCTCTGTCCAAAACACAAAATCCCAAGAAAAAAAATTATTAACATTTACTCTACTGCTAAAAGATACTTGGAACTAAAGTTATATTTAAGACTATCTTTAGAACTAAAGTTAAGTATTTTCTTAAGAAAATAAATCACATTTCAATAAAAACAATTTAAAAGCATTTTTACTCTATCTTCAGATTTAAGTACAAAATAGCTATTTTCAGATTTAAGAAAAAAAGTGTTACAAATTTTAGCTCAAAAGTTTTTGAAGAATACATATGAATGAATTTTTTAATAAATTGGATTATGTAAAGGAGAGTAAAGAAAAAAATATATAAATCAGGTTAACACACAGCATTTCAGTAGACTGAATGGTTAA